TCCCCTGACTGCTCGGCTCTTAAACAGAGCCGAAGAGTCAGGGGAGGAGCAGAGCCGCCACTTTCCCGGACATGTTCGGCTTTTTGGCAATTCCCCCCGGACGGGGGTTTGAGTGCTGAAAAGCCGGACATGTCCGGGAAAAAGAGGACGTATGGTAACCCTACTCAAGTGCCTACAGGCTTTTTTTTTTTTTTCCCCAGCTGCATTGGAATAATCAATGAGGTCCCAGGGCCTTCACAGCCTGCTCTACAGTTCTCATAACAGTGTTAAATCACCTACATTTCACTTGTTGTCTATACATCGCTTCACAGATGCATCTATTTTAAGAACAGAAGGAACTATTAGATCATCTTAGTCTGACCTTCTGTTTAACCCAGGCCATAGAATTTCACTGTTACCCCACTACTCAGCCCAGTAACTTGTATTTGACTACAGCATATCATAAAATGTGTCTACTATATATACACACTCAGGGCCGGCCTTAAGCCGATTTGGCCGATTCCCCGGCATGGGGCCCCGTGCCTCAGAGGACCCCACAACGTCCGGGGCTGCCGGCGGAGCGGGGAAAAAAAAAAGCCACGTCCTGCTTCTCCTCCTTTCCTCCAGCGCTTGCGCCACCATACAGCTGATCAGCGCAAATCTGGGAGGGATAGGGTGAGGACTGAGGAGGAGGAATGCGGCGTGCTTAGGGAAGACGTGGGGCCAGGGCGGGGATTTGGGGAGGGACCCAATGGGGCAGGGAGGGGGTGGGTCTGGGGGCAGGGCCAGGGCGGGGATTTGGGGAGGGATCCAATGGGGCAGGGAGGAGGTGGGGCCGGGACAGAGTTGGGGGGGCGCAAGACAATTCTCGTCCCGGCGTGGGGCCCCGCACCTGCTAAAGCTGGCCCTGTACACACTACAGCATATATCTAAGATGGTACATACTGTACACCAGGAGGGGGCAAACCTTTTGGCCAGAGGGCCACATCTGGGTGGGGAAATTGCTTGCAGGGTCGGGGCAGGGGGTTGGGGTGCAGGAGGGAGTGTGGGAGAGGTGCAGTGTGCAGGAAGGGGATCAGGGCAAGGGGTTAGGGCAGAGGAGGGGTGCGGAGTATATGAGGGGGCTCAGGGAAAGGGGTTGGAGTGCAGGAGGGGTGCGAGGTGCAGCAGGGGGCTCAGGCAGGGAGGTCAGGGCAGGGAGTTGGGGTGCGGCAGGGGGCTCAGGGCAGTGGGTTGGGGTGCAGGAGGGATGCAGGGTACGGCAGGGGACTCAGGGCAGGGAGTTGGGGTGCGGGGTGCAGGAGAGGTTTGGGCTCTGGGGTGGCAGTCGTGTGCACTGGGGCCAGGGCAGGGAACAGGGAACCGCGGCCAATGGGAGCTTCAGGGGAGGTACCCACAGGCAAGAGCAGAGCATGGAGCCCTCTGCCCCCCTCCCCGAGGGGCTGCAGGAACGCAGTGCTGGCCGCTTCTGGGAGCAGCATGGGGCCTGCAGCGCCACGGGGGTGGCAATCCCGCGGGCCGGATCCAAAGCCCTGAGGGGCTGGATCCGGCCCGCAGGCCATAGTTTGCCCACCCCACTGTACGCTATGTGGAAAAGTTAATGTTGGTGCCTTATCTTGTCTGTGCTTTCTTCCTGAGCATATATGTTTTCTTCTATAATCTGTAAAACTCTGCCACGTACCTGAGATAGGTTCTTCCCCTCCTCACAGTTTATACCTCCTATGAAGACCATGTTGGGCATCACTGGTTTGGGATACTCAAACACGAAATCGTATCTCAGGAGCCATATGGAGCCATTTCTGTAAAGTGTTGGTAAGTGCACATCTCTCTGGAGAAACTTTGAGGCAATGTCTTGGTATTTGGTATACAAATCCTTAAACAGTGGTGTCTCTAAAGAGCTAGCAAATAGGTTCAGCACTCGCTGGGTAAATGTCATGTGGTCGGTGTAGCTGGTATAGCATCTTGGGACATAAGAAACAGGGTCTGGACATTTAGTCACTGCATGCTCTAAATTGCAGGGAAATCCACGAAAGAAGTACACGGAAGGGATGGCTAGATACTCTGCCAAGATCACCCCACATGGCAAGGCTGGGTCTGTGAAGAGTGCATCAAATTTACTCTCTTCCAAGTATCGTATGATTTCTCTGTTCTGCAAGAGGCTGTCACAGTTGTAGAAGAACAAGTCCAGTACAAACATGATGC